ACAACTGTCTTTTATAGTCGTTTTGATGGTAGGAAAACCCGGGCCCCGAGTTCACACAGCATTCTCAGACTTAAGTTGAGAATTTACTCAAACTTGTTCCCTTTTTTTTAAACTAAAATATAGTCCTTTATAATAATTTTGTTGTTTTTAATGTATCAGATACGTCAATAAGAAACCATGTGTAAAGTTTTGTGTTTCTGGATCAAAGATATTTCTCATAAACAGTGATTGAAAGTTGAGCAAATTCTCAACTTAAGTCTGAGAATGCTTTGTGAACTCGGGGCTAGGTTCACTATAGTCCGCGTGTTAATTAGTCCACCGATATCTATTATAGGGGTTAGGGTTAGGGTTCAGATTACGCTTTTTGATAACCATATTTATAGTATTTCTTATAGCGGCGGACTAGTGAAGCCCTCTCGAAAACCCGAGATCCCCTGTATACATACATCGCCGTGTGCCTAAAAGAACAGTAGGACGTTAAACCCCATTTCATTTCGTTTCTCTTTGAATTTATTGGTATTGTTGTTTGTTTCGGTCGGGGGGGGGGGGGGGTTAACATGTGCGCGTTACATCATAAGGTCTGTTATTGAGTCAAATCAAGTGGTGTGCTTTGTACGTGACGAGGAATATGGTCGCCAGTCCAGCCTCGTGGGTTTTCTCCGGGTCCTTCCGTTTCCTCCTACTGCTAGAGATCCCTACGCACAAGCGAATTAATAAAATAAAATTGATACAAATGTTGGTCGCGAAATGACCTAGGTTTTGTCGAGTGGACGTTATACCCACATCTCTCTCTCTCTCTCTCTCTGTTATTGTTCTTGGTTGTTATTGTTCTTGGTGGTTGTTATTGTTCTTGGTGGTTGTTATTGTTCTTGGTTGTTATTGTTCTTGGGATATTTGGGTGTTTTGTTTATTTGCTTGGGTGTTGTGTATTTCGATGTTTATGTGATGGAGGGTGGGGGGGGGCGTGCCTTATGTCTTCGTATATACGTTTAACCGTATATATACGTATATATCTGAACACGGCGTATCAAGCCAATATATTGGAAGGGTTGATCATTTCTCTGTCCATTGTTTACTAATCATTCCCGCTAACTTAAGCACACTAAGGTCCCCAGCATATATTTTTTGCTAACTAACCGTAAAGTACTAATCACCTTATTCTGACATCTAGTCAATGATGAGAATTATACCATAATTGGGGTTAATAATCCATTCTCCAATTGTCTTGATTTGAAAAGAGTATAGCCTGGCCAACTCAGATGTTTCTATGTGGAGTGGGAGTGGGGGAGGGAGCGGGGGAATGTGTCAGGTTGGAGGGAGTTAATGGTAATTACGTGGAATCTGTATCAGTAAACACTGTGGTTATGATTAACTCGTCCCTTTGGTTATATTTGGGTGGGGTTGTAATTTACGAGCTAATCTTCTTTTGTAAACCCCGAATAACCCTTTCCTTTGATTATAAATATATATATGTTATTTCGTTTTAGTTTTTATATTTCACATAGTCATTATCCTCTGTTATGACGTAACGTTATTGTAACAGCATAGTAACGCATTAAAATGGCCTGACGAATAGTTTGATAACGATGAAAGTACTAGCCAAAAATTTAATTTTTAGTGTTTTTTCTCTAATATTTGAATTTTACTTATATGTTTAACTGAGAGTTAGATCATTTTATATATTTTTTTCTTATATTATATTATATATTCGGGTGGGTTTTTTTTATTAAGATAATAACACAAAGCTACGGAAGCCCATTATGGTCAATCAAACGAAAAAAAAAATCTGATTATCTTGTAATTACAAGATAGCCTATCTTGTAATTACATGATAGCCTAAAAAAAACCTATCTTGTAATTGCAAGATAGCTTGTTATTACAAGAAAACTATCTTGTAATTACAATATAGTTATATAAAATGGTATCTTGTAATTACAAGATAGGCTATCTTGTAATTACAAGACACTCAGAATATTTTTTTCATTTGATTGACCCTTATGGTCTTCCGTACAAAGCTATACATTAATATAGTATCTGTTTTCGCTTTTGATATACATGTAAACCAACTAACAATGGTCTGACTTTTGATAATTGATACAGCCTAATATTGATTAATTATTGATATAAATTGACAGATCAATAATTGACATAGTTTACAGTGTTTAAAGTAGCTGAGACTCTATATCAATACCACTGATGTTGTGATCTTAACGGGAAACGATGGGCTTCTCATATCCAATATTTAGGACAAAATAAACAGTTTACTATTGGTACACGAATCGTGTATCATAATGCGTTTCACTCCCATTTGTAACAAGGGACTCGAAGAATGAGGCTAGACATATTCTAAAAGTCATTTCAAATGGTGACGCCATATTTTTATCTGGAGTGCTTGTGCAGACGGGAATAACCAGACGCTAGAGATTGAACGTAAATCAGTTTATATACATTCATTTTGCATTATTATATGCGTTGCCTCCCATATTTGTGTCAATTTCTAGGTCCCAAATATTAGTGATTTAACGCTTTTAAACAGTAATGAGAACCTTAACAAGGATATTGAGGAAGGGTGAGGTTGGGGTTGGGATCAGGCGTGCGGTCGGAGTGGGGCGGGTCTAGTCGTCTATTGCGTGCGCATTAGTTTATAAGAGGGGGTGTTTTTCGCCGAGTCCTCCAGTTTCATCCCACTGTTAAAGAGGGATTATGAGAGATTAGATAAAGAGTTGACAGTTGTAACTATAATAGTTAACAAAAAGTTAACGTAAATAGAATATACTGACACTTTTGGTCTTTCTTTAGGCCTGAAATGTTATCTAAATTATTAATTAGACATTAATTAACTTATCCAGACCATAATCAACTCTCGATGACATTGCTAGGCTGCGAAGTTTATTTGATTAGGTTCCGATTTGCTGTTCGACTATCATTCATAATTTAATTATTAATTGGATAATCGAGACTATGTTTTTTTTTATCCTACCGACTTTATTAATGGTGATCGAGGCTAGACCGAAAATTCAATCGCTAATATCTTAATTCATAGTGGATCAATTGACTGAAATTTTCAGCAAATTCCCTTTACAGTATCTAGGTTTTAATTATTATAGTGAGAACTTCCAGCTCTTTATCTAATCTCCAATAATGTATCTTTAATAGAACTATGATAGTGAGAACTGCCAACTCTTTATCTAATCTCCCATAACGTATCTTTTAATTTTAAAATATTGCGTGCACAAAACTATAAAGCGTGATTAAAGACAGCATTAATTATAAGTTACTAAAAGAATCAATTAGGTCCAAACAATAGATGAAAACAGGAATAAACTAGGCGATAATCAATGATGGATTGCGTCTCAAATTTGATGACTTCCAACTGGAAGATCATTCACTTGATTAAGTCATTTGTAAACAGGTTCTTATTCAAATCTTTTCGTTTGTAAAGATCCCAAGATAGAGGGAAGATAATCAATGACTGGTTGATATATAGAGAGAAATGGGGTTTAACGTCCACTCGACACAAACTAGGTCATTTCTGGGCTAAAATATGGTTTAATTTTATTTCAATAATTCGCTTGCGCTAGCAATACATTGACGATTAAATAAAATCTGTTGTGTAAATATTTGTACAATTTTAAGAGAGAGGGAGAAATGGGGTTTAACGTCCACTTGACACAAACTAGGTCATTTCGGGACTAACAATATGGTTCAATTTTATTTCAATAATTATTTGCGCGTAGGGGTCTTTAGCATTGGGAGGAAACCGGAGGACCAGGAGAAAACCCACGAGGTTGGATAGGCGACCCTACTCCTTGGCCCCGTACAACCGGGGAATCGAAACCACGATAGTTGACTCAATGACTAGTTCCTTTAGGAACTGTCTCTGAGCGGACGATGACAGTTCCTAAAGAAACTACTCAATGACAGACCTTATGATACAACGCGCACGTGCTAACCATTCGGCCATCCAACCCCCCATATTAGCTAGGCGTTGTATCTACCTATTTTATATATATATATATATATATCCAGAAATATTAGCACAACCGTAATGCTGCACTACTTTGTTTCACGGTAAACGACGAAAAGATAAAATGTATGCCGACACAAACTGATTTCAACACTGGTTTAATAACATTTTAACATTTTGAAGTACTTTTCGTCCGTCTTGGGACTATTCATAAATAATGTCATTGTATAAAGATGGACAGTTTAGTGTATTTATACATATTTACATAGTAACACTGTGGTTTTAATTGGCTGTAGTTACCATTGTCTATGGTTACATAGTATATCGTTAATTAATAGAAACATGTACACACGTGTGTTAATCTGTAGTATATGGGTTCAATTTAGGAACAATGAGTGGAAGATAATCATGGGATAGATTTAAGAAAATTAATGAAGCTAATGGCCAATTGTTACTTATTGACTATTAAGTCGAGGAACGTATTTTTTAATAAAATGGTTTTCCATTAATTTCCTTTTCGTGGTGTCATCGACTTTCATTTTATAAAAAGGGAAAATTTGGAATTTGTATATATATATATATATATATATATATATATATATATATATATATGTGTGGATGTAACGCCCACTCGACCCCGACCTCCCCACCCCCTCGACCGGTTAATGATTGATATTAAATAGACTGACATCAAGTCTGTGGTACATGTATACGTACACGGGAATTTAATCATTGGACCATAGCCTCCCACGGTAAACGGCCCTTTTACCCCCACCCCCTCTGTTGTCCTGAATTGACCTCTCCCCTAAATCATTCAGGCAATCAAACACCACATCCAGCACTTTCTATTCTGATCTCTTATCCAATTATGAGTGAGTAATTCTAGAGATCCGGACCGCCATGTTATTATATGTATCAATGTATCGATATTTTGAAATGTTAATATTATGATCTGTCATGTTATCGATTATATTTATAGATTCTATATTGATTCTTTTTAGAATTGTATAAAATATTACTTAGTATTGCTACAGTATTGTAACGTGGAGACGCTTTCTAAATAAACTAATATATTATATGTAAGTATAAACGGTTTTAATTAATGGGCCGCGGTGGCTCGGTGGATGAGATGCTGGCTCTCTAAGTTCGCTCCCAGTGTTGGCCGGGAGAGATAGAGAGAGAAAAAAAAGAGAGAGAGAAATGGGGTTCAACGTCCACTCGACACAAACAAGGTCATTTCGGGACTAACACTATTTCAATAATTCCTTTGCGCGCGCGTGGGGGGGGGGGCTTTAGCAGTGGTAGGAAACCGGAGGCCCCGGAGAAAACCCATGAGGTTGGATAGGCGGCCCTACTCCTTGTCACGTACAAGCGGGGAATCGAAACCCCGCCTGTTGACCAAATGACATACCTTAAGATACAACGCGAACGCGCTAATCATTCGGCCACCCAACCCCCTGAATCGAAAACACGCCACTTGACTCAATGGCAGACCTTATGTTCTAAAGGGCACGCCTTAATCCCCTCAATTACCCACCATCCCCCGTTCTTTGAAGAATAATATACAATTTTCAGATGCACCTGTTTTTCTTTCAGTTATATGAAATGCAACGTTTACAAAGAATATTTGTCCGAATGGCGATGTAAGTTATAAATTGCTTTTATTGGTTGTTCTATTTAAATATATAAAAACAAATATTCCAAGCACAGTGAGAGAGAGAGAGAGAGAGAGAGAGAGAGGGAGAGAGAGAGAGAGAGAGAGTTCAACGTCCATTCGAAATAAACTAGGTCATTTCGGGTCCAAGAATTGGTGTAGTACTATCAGATCTTCAATGTTCGGTCTTCACGCTGTGTATGACCGGAGTGAGCTTTGTCGAATGCTATTTGTCCACCTTCTTTTATAGATGCATATTTCTTTGTCTGAGGTGTTAATCTAAAGGCTGGTAACAGCTAAGTTCTAAATATGGAATTGACATGCACCCCCATCTGAATATCGACAGGGATTGTTACCTAATTTGGTCAACAAATATGATACATGTTTTATAACAAAGAGAAATGTGTATGACCAACATGCGCATTAATCGATAGCTCAGTTAACGTATCACCATAACCAGCATATACTTTCTATATTTATGGTTATGACGTGAGAATCAATAATATGAAAGATAACGCTATTGTTCCAGCCATCATATTTCTCCATTCTTTGTCTTTAGACCCCATGTCTTTTTATTGTTACAATATTTCATAAACAATTTTAATTTGCGTTTCAGAATTAACTTATACCATAGCTATTATTTTGGGCAATGGAGAATAGTTAATCAAAACCATAATATAATTTTACATAGATGTTTCTTAGCACAAATTCTTGCTCTCCATATTACTACAATTGTTCAATTTTATTTTAATAATTCGCTTGTGCGTAGCGCTCGTTAGAGTGGGAGGGAACCGGAGGACTGGGAGAAAACCCACGAAGTTTGACAGGCAACCCTACTCATTGTCACGGAGAGAGAGAGTGAGAGAGAGAGGGAGAGAGAGAGGTGGTTTAACGTCATTTCGAGACTAACATATGGTTTTAATTTTATTTCACTAATTCACTTGCGCGTAGGGGTCTTTAGTAGTTGGAGTAAAACGGAGGACCCGGAGAAAACCCACGAGGTTGGACGGGCGACTCTACTCCGTGTTACATACACCCCTCCTACTTGAACTATTGTAATTGATAACAGTAATATGATCTAAATTGTAATATAAGTCTAATGGTGGTATAATACACAGGCTTATACGCTGTAACAGATGGATATTTGATAATGGGGGGATAATTAATATAACTTTTAATTTCTAATAGATATTTGTAATGTATCTAATAGCAGGCTACCGCGCCATATTAAGCCAAATATTTTTATTTTGCTTAGAAAATAATTAAATAATTATATAATCACTGTAAAATAACTATATTTATTTCAGAATAGTGGCCGGAATAATAGTAATGTTTATAGCATCCTCCTCCTTATTTGGTATGGACGTCACGAAAATGTCCATTTTTAAGAGAGAGGTCCGCCATATTGGATTCTTGAAAGTTCATAAAGCTGCCAGCACCACCATAGAGAATATGATGATACGATTCAGTCAAAGTAGAAAATTAACCGCCGTGCTACCTAAAGACGGGCATCATTTGAGTGTAAAAAACGCGCACCCTAAATCATGGAAGTTTTTCCCCATACCTACAAACCACACGTTTGACATATTGTTTAATCACGTGATCTTTAGCGCGGTCGGCTTTAGAACTTACTTACCTAGTGATAGCGTCTATATAGCCTCGGTTCGTGAGCCTTTTCAACAAATGATATCCGCGTTTTATTACATACGTAGAGTGTTTCCTCAAGCGTATATAAAAAACATCAGTGGACCCAATCCACACAGAGTTTATCTAAGAGATCCAAAGCGCTACGACGAGGATATGACGTCATTCACACATAATGGAATGGCGCGAGATTTCGGCTACCCACCTGCTTTGAATGACAATATGGCCCTATTTCAGGAATATATGGAACGTCTTGGGACTTTCTTTGATTTGGTTATTGTGATGGAGAAATTCGATGAATCGATAATTTTAATGAGACGGCTGTTACGCTGGTCGATCAAGGATATTGTTTATATTAAAGCCAATGTTTCAAAGTTGAACAGCTCCATAGAAATAACCGATCAGGACCGACAACTCCATCGACAGTGGGCGCCACTGGATTACGCCCTGTATGATTTCTTTCTTAAGAAACTAGAAAATCAAATTTCTACCCAATTCAGTGACTTCACTAGAGAAGTGAAATACTTCAAACAGGTTCTGAAACGTGTGGAGGAATTTTGTCAACAGAAAACGATTATCCAACCCCTGATTATCGACGTCAGCGAATTCTCCGATCAGTTTCAAATAACTGATTTGGATTGCGTTGTTATGACGACAAAAGAGTCGACATTAATGAACAATTTGAAAGAGGACCGCCGAAAGGAATTAATACAATATGGCGAAGATGCGATTTATATAAAGAAAAAACGTGAGTCTATAATCTGGACACCAGCTCTACAGTTAGATGTGTAAATAATCGGGTCTATTGTCTCGAACAACCAGACTATATAACATCAAATATGGCTACAGGTGTGTTCGCTTCAAACCCATTTCTTAACAAAAGAATAAATTCTGATATATGTCAAAATACTGGTATAAACAATGACTTCTATAGCCTCGAACAACCAGCCTAGATGATCAGCGAATATGGCATCTAAAGTTAGTTTTCTTGCCGGTTTTGGTTTCAAATCCAGTTGCTAAAACCCATTTTTTAAAAACAAAACCGGATTACAAGTTAGTCTTGGTCACCCAGAACCTCCTAGTCTTCAACGTACGGGGGATCTGGGACCGTTGTCAATATTTGACGTAAAGTCCATTGCCCATGCATAACCGGGAGTTGGGTTTTTAATGTGGTTGATTATCCAGTAAGAGTTGCGCCCCCTCCCGCAATAAATCCCATAATTCTTGTTAATATAACCAAACATGAATCGTAACGACGAATTAGGATTAATTTAAAAAAACATAGATATGGCTCATGAAGAGAGAAATTTTACAGTAAAAAAAAATTAAAAGTGTTGGATATTGAACAGTGCATGCAATCAAATGGATTATTTGAAAAGGCTTTCTTAAATTAATTTCATGGGCGTCATCATCTTCTTTTAGGATGAGTTACCTCCCTTAGCCGCTGTTTATGATAATGTAAAAGACCGGGTAATCGATCCAATGACCTGTTATTCTTAAATGTTGACAACGCATCCAGACCAATAGTCGTAGATTATTTTTCTGGATGATAGAGACTAATTACTAGTATAAATAATAGCGTCAACAGCCTCGAACACCTAAACTATACAACAGTCTCGAACACCTAGACTATACAACAGCAAATATTGCGTCTGAAGGTATTCGTTTTAAATGCAGATGTTTAGCCAATTTTAAAAGTGTAATCTACGTTAAAATATTATAAACATAAACATTAATAACATGGACGATATTAATAATAATAATAATAATGACTTTATTTTCTGTGGGAACATATATTTAGTACATGGGTTCTAATTTTCAAAATGTCCCTCTACTCTATAAAACTAGCAACCTCACAGTAATAATATTTACAAAGTGCATATATATCATATTATATAAGCTTATGATAAAGAAATATCAAACAAACAAGAACGAAATGAAACAAGATGACTAGTCATCAACATCCCGCGCCCTTGCACGGAAGAAATAAGGAAAAATAACTTGTTTATGCTATTGGTAATCAATATAAAAATGTATCAGATTTCGCAAACAGTGTCACTGGTCCTAATATTGTGGCCCTGTTTAGTAGATATTGCTCTCTATTTCTGAAAACTAATGACTGATTGCTATTTACTAGAAGATTTGAGATAATTTATGACATTAAGCTCTGGTTTTAAAAATCAGACATGACTACATAGAAAATAGAGATATTTTGCAAGTGGAGGGAACTGGAGCTTTAGACAAATCTCATATTCCGACACATGGAATATCAATTCACAGAATTTCATACTCTGATCACAGTAACTCGGCAAGGCAGGGTCGCTACTCCCTGTAAGGTTTGCACAACAACCTTTGCCTACCTCAATTAGCTGCTGTATGTTAAACAATAAACTTATACATCAGAAAATAAAATACTATAATAGGTTAATGTTTGTACAAAGTTTCAAAAAGATTTCTTGAACAGATAATAAAATATGCTGCAGAAACAAAATCAGGACGGAAGGCGTGATTTCAGAAAATAAAATAATGGGTAAAATTAATTTAAAGGTATCTTGAACAGTCAAATGTGTTTCCATGGAAACACATAAAATTATCAAATCTGAGAAATTCAAAATAAGTGCCATGAAGATATCTTGAACGATTTATGAGATATGCTCCAGAAACAAAATTGTACACCAAAAACTAAGTAAAATTTGTTTCCATGGAAACACACAAAATATCAATCCCAGAAATTAATAAATAGCAAAAGGCACAACTACAGTAACGTGCAAGGGCGCGGGATGTTGATGACTAGTCATCTTGTTTTATGTGTGTGCAAAGTTTCAGAAAGATATCTTGAACGGTTTATGAGATATGCTCCGGAAACAAAATTGTACACCAAAAACTAAGTCAAATTTGTTTCCATGGAAACACAAAAAATTTAAATCCCAGAAATTCCTAAACAGCAAAATGCACAACTACTGTAATAGGTTGATGTGTGTGCAAAGTTTCAGAAAGATATCTTGAACGGTTTATGAGATATGCTTCGGAAACAAAATTGTACACCAAAAACTAAGTCATTTTTGTTTCCATGGAAACACAAAAAAATATAAATCCCAGAAATTCCTAAATAGCAAAAGGCACAACTACTGTAATAGGTTGATATGTGTGCAAAGTTTCACTTCGTTCGGCGCGGGATAAAAAATGGCAAATAAACATACATTCAGAGGACAACAGTAATTGACAAGGGTTAAAAGATTTGATATTTTTTACGAACTCCTTTTTTAAGATAAAAAAATGAAGACACGTTTCACAGTTTGAGGTAGTAAATTCCAGAATATAAAAGGCGGTATATTGGAATGTTCTCATTGCTTTTTATACGCCCACATTTTCATGTGGACGTATTATGCCGTCGCCCCTGTCCGTCCGGACGTCCGTCCACAATTTGTTTGTGGACACTCTAGAGGTCACAATTCTTATCCGATTTTGACGAAACTTGAAATATAGGTTTATCTCCAAAAGATCTCGACTGCTTTTGGTATTGGCATGTATCGGATCGAAACTTCATGGATTATGGCCCCTGTTTGTACGATAAATCACGTTTTTAGCTTGTGGACCCTATAGAGGTCACAATTTTTATCCGATTTTGTTGAAACTTGAAATGTAAGTTTATAACCCAAAGATCTCGGTTCCTTTCGATATTCGCGCATATCGGACCGTAACTTCCTGAATTATGGCCCCTGATTGTACGAAAAATCGCGTTTTTAGCTTGTGGACCCTATAGAGGTCATAATTTTTATCCGATTTAAAAAACCGTATTATTATATCACTGTTACACCCTAAAGACGACTGAATTCGAATTTCATGAAAATCAACCCAAAATTGACAGACAAAATGGCCGCCGTTTGTTCTCAAATAGCGTAAAAATATGGTATATCAAGGTTGTGGACCCTATAGAGGTCACAATTTTTATCCGAGTTTGTTTAAACTTGAACTGTAAGTTTAGAACACAAAGTCCCAGTTCCTTTTGATATTCGCGCATATTGAATTGTAATTTCCTGAATTATGGCCCTTGATAGTAGGAAAAATCACTTTCTTGTTAGCTTGTTCTCTATCCATCTCTCGAAAATGTGAGCGTATCCTGCCTGGCAGCCGCTGGTTTCTTACTTTTTGGAATTGCTAATTTAAATTGACTTTCTGATCTCAATATCATGGTAGTTTCGGTCAATTTAGAATTTTTACGGAATGTGTTATATAAATATCATATAAAAATGTCTTGGTTGTAAAGAATACGTTGGTAGATTGCGAGCCAATTTAGAGATTGAAACAAAGGTGACGAGTGTGAATCTGGTTTTTCATCCAAAATGCTCCTTGCCGCACGCTTTTGAAGTTTATACAGGACCTCTAGTTTACCTTTATTGGCATTACCCCAAACTGTGGAACAGTAATCTAAGTATGGTAAAATATAGCCGATGAAAAATAAAATTTTAAGATTCTGTGGTAAATAAGGTTTTTAACTTTGTCAGAAGGTAGATTTTGGAGGATATGATTTTGGAAAATTTGTTAATGTGGAGATTCCAATCTAAATTTTGGCCAACAGTAAGTCCTAATAACACCCCGTCAGATACATTTTGTAACGAATCTCCATTAATTTTTAATGATAAGCTTTTGTCTTTTTAGCAATCATTACCATACCATTATCATTACACCAATTAAATACTTTTAGTAAATCCCCTTGAAGGGCAATCTGTATATTAGCTAGATTGTTGCTACAAAAATGAAGGGTACTGTCATCAGCAAAAAGATCAGTATGACATTTACTGAAATGAAATGGGAGATCGTTTATACAGATTAGGAAAAGTAACGGCCCAGTATTGGTTCCCTGTGGGACCCTACATTTCACATCAGTAACAGTTGAATGACATGCCCCTAAGACTACTTTTTGCTTTCGAAATTCCAGATAGGATGAAATTAGTTTATTTTTGGAGGATTAATCTATTAATCTATGGTCTTTTAGATCAAAAGCCTTACTAAGATCGAGATAAACAACTCCGGTCATATTACTCGAGTCTATTTCTTTGAGCGAGATATCTGTTATTCTTAATAAGACTGTTGAACATGAATGATTTTTTTCTAAAACCAGATTGAAATTCATAAAATAGTTTGTATTTTTCAAAATATTCTGTAATTTGAGAACTAATGTGCTTTTCAAATATTTGTGATATTGTGGGTAAGACAGAAACAGGTCTATAATTATTTGGTAGATCCTTGTCTTCCTTCTTGTGGATTGGGATAAGTTAAGCAAATTTTAATTGTTCAGGGAAAATACTTTTTGAGATGCATCAATTTATTATGTAAGTTAATGATTTAAAAATATTGTCTGTCGACATTCTTAGAAGTTTTTGTCCTATAGAGTCAATACAAGTAGCCTTACTTGGAACAAGCATATTTAGATATTTGTGTTCATAATTTATAGTATATTTCTTTGTTAGGAGGAATTGTTTTGTGATCAAATTTATCGATCTTTTCACAATATTTATTGGACAGGGGATTATATACGGGTTCATATCATCGGTAAAATTGGTAAAATAATTATTCATAATATTAGCAATATCAGATAAATCATATTCTTTATTATATGACTTAATAGACATCGGATAGCTACAATTCGTTTTAATTCCCATAGCATTGTTATTTTGAGTTTTTGTTCTTTTGAATGGCAGTTATGATATATTTAGACTTAGAACTTGTTATTAAATTTTTGGTTTTGTTTCGCCAGTTTGTAGTTGATATGATCATTTTTCCTCTGGTAAAAATCTCTTGTTTTTCGAGCGTTATTGATTTCTGAATTAAACCATTCTGGTTGTTTATGATTTTTTATTCGTTTTCGTTTTTTGTTTGGTGAATGTAGATTAAGAATATAACATTAAATTTATTATACCATACTTCCAATGTCATATTTGCATCATCTATAGTTTCAATAGCTGAAAAGCTTTGCAGGGAAAGGTCATTTAAAAAAGTATATTCATTGAAATGTTTGAAATTTCTATATTCGTTTTCAAGATGACAATGTCGCTTGATGTTTTCATCATTTCCTATGATAAAAATTACTGGATAATGGTCAGTCACCAAGACCATAAACTGGAATATTTAATTCTATAATCGTATCGGGAGAGTTTGTATATAGATGATCTATATTATTGTTTGACTATTTTGATAAATGAATCGGAAAAAGAATCTGTCGTGTTATTAGTGTCATGTCAACACCTGTTTCATCACCCTCATCACTAATTGTGGGGGCCACGGTGTTTAAGACGCTGGCTCGCTAGCCTGGAGGTCGGTTGTTCCATCCCTGCAATGGCCGAGAAAGTTCATCCAGAGTAGGCCGTAGCCCGGGCAAAATTTCCCTCATAGCACACTGTATGGCGTATGCCCGTCTTCATTAGCCCAGTATAGGAGCA